TTTGTATAATAGACCATACAATGTTTGTCTTTTTGTGATTGACTTATTTCAGTCAGCATAATGTCCTCCAGATTCATCCAAGTTATGTTTTGCAGACTCCTCATTATTCTTTATAGTTGTGTAGTATTCCATTTATGTATGTACCACAATTTGTTTATCCATTTGTCCGTTGATGGGCCCTTAGGTTGTTTCCATCTTTTTGATATTGTGAATAACACTGCAGTGAACATAAACTGCGCATGTCTATTCATGTCATTGTTCTTATATCTCTAGGGTATATACCTAGGAGTAGGATTGCTGGATCATAAAGTATTTTTATTTCTAGCTTTTTGAGGCAGCATCATACTGTTTTCTATAGTGGTTGTACCATTTTACAATCCCACCAGCAATGTGTAAGAGTTTTGATTTTCATCTATCTAATAGCTAATGATCACGGGCATCTTTTCATATATTTGTTGGCCACCTGAATGTCCTCATTGGTGAAGTGTCTGTTCATGTCTTTTGCCCATTTTTTTATTGGGTTGTTTGTCTTTTTGTTGTTGAAGTTTTCTGTGTATTTTAGAGATTAGGCCCTTATCAGATATGTTGTTGCCAAACATTTTTTCCCAGTCTGTGGGTTCTCTTTTTACTCTCTGGGTCAAGTCTTTTGATAAGCATGAGTATTTATGGGGTCCTAATTATCTCACTTATCTTCTGTCACGTGTGCATTGTTTTGTTTGATAGACTGTTTATGCCAAAAATTAGGTCCCCTAGTTTTGACCGTATGTTATCTTCCAGGAACTTTATAGTTTTAGCTTTGACATTTAGGTCTTTGATCCATTTTGAGTTAGTTTTCATGCATGGTGTGAGATACGGATCCTGATACATTTTTCTGCATATGATACCCAGTTTTGCCAGCACCATTTGTAGAAGAGATTGTTTCTTCCCCATTGAATGGACTTTGGCCCTTTGTCGAAGATCAGCTGCCCAAAGATGGATGGATTTAGTGGTGTTTTTTGTTTTGTTTTGTTTTTTTAAATAGAA